CATAAAATGAGTTTTATTTTATTTATCAACGAGTCTGCAAAGAAAAATGAGAAGTGAAGTTGAAAAAAGGGCAAAACATATTACTGTATTTGGTTGAGGTTATTATAGAAAAGATATGCCCCGATTTAAAAATAATTACATAGCAATTAAACCTTTATAGTTTTTATTCAAATTCACCCCTTCATATCTCGATTGGTCCAAATCACCAATTCAGGATGAACCATAGACTTATTTCTGCAAAAATATCAATTATATCCGTTATGGCCCAAGGAAGCATTAAAGAGGGTACCCATCCTTTTTATGGTACTTTCCAAGTGCTACCTTGGCCAGTGATTGTCGAAATATTTTATTCATTATTTTCAAAAATGGCTCGTAGATTGGCTCCAACATCAGTATCAATGTTACCCATAAGGTCGTCAAAAGGGGTTGTTACTTTTCGTGCTCTCCTGAAAATTTGATATGGCCACCATTACCTCTGATTGGTTGACGCCATTCTCACGCTGTGTGTAGATACAACAATCAAAGACGGACGTCCTGACCCCCTCTGGTTGGTTAAAGCAATTTCAAATTTGGTGTTTATGTTTTGTAAAGACGTGTAACATGCATGTGTGAGTAAATGCCTCTCGGGATTCTTTTTTATTTAAATTGGCGTGCAAATATAAGGGTTTATGCATGTTTAGGCTGTTTGGACCTTTTGGCATTGATGACAAATTAATATGCCACCGTCAAATGCAGTAATATAGCATTATTTACCTACAGGTTGTGATCGCGGTGAGCATGTGGTTGCCTCATCTTCCCCATTTGTAGAAAGATATGTGGTCTTAAATCTAAATATAATTATGATGTAGTGTGGATGGAAGAAAAGGTAAGACGGCCTCGTAGACAAGAGAGGAATGACTTCGCTTTCTGAGAAAGGTTGATATAAATACTGGGTTTGTTCAATAGTGGCAAAGAATGAGTAAAGAATCTTCGATTATATTTCATTACGCATCTCACTGTTGGTCACACAAATATGATGCAGAAAATTCTTTCAGAGCACCTCGGATATTTCAATTGTTATAAATTGCTTTTCATTTTGATTTTGGGTTTTGCTGTCGTTTGGCGTTTAAATTGTTGTGTGATATTTGTCATTTTTACATGACGGCATTGCATAATTTTTGTTCATTTTACTAATGAAATAATCATATATATATACTGTATAAACACATGAATAACAAATATGAAACAAATCACAGATGAACGTTAATTGTAATAAACTGTAAAAAAAATCATACACGACACCGTCGTATTTTCACAATAAGATTTTAGTAATACAATGTATCACGTACACGAATTTACCAGAATGTTTTGCCAATTTGTAGAACCTGCATCTTTTAACATCTGAAGCAAAAGGACCTTCGATTTCTTCCCATCCGAATAATGACAACGGTGCCCCTCTGTAAAAGACTCAAGTAGACTACCTTCGTTTGGGCTTAGACTTGTGACGTCACGATTATATACCAGGTGTTGTTCCCTGATCTTCGTTCCTTATTTTGAAAATAATGGAAACATGATTTGAATGTAATATGTTGTACTAACTTAATATCATTAATTTTAACAATTAAACCACGTCCCATTCACATTCTATGTGAATCAGTCATATGTTAAAAAATAGATGTAGCGTAAAACGATGTCATATTTGCATATGTATTTTTCTAAATGATATTAATGAATTCTAACATTTTAATTATAAAATATTAAATTGACTTCAGTCATTAAAATTGAGTACCCTTCATACTTTATGCAAGTATCATTGCAGCTGATATTTGCAGGGAATGAATACATAGCCAAAACACTACTGTTACGATATCGAGAGTACTAGTTCTTCAAAAAACTTATGATGAGATAAGGTTATTATTTTTTTAATATTTGTTCTGTTCTTTTAATTAAAAACAAAAGGATTAAGCAGGATTGCTTTGTTTTATATTTGCGAGAATGAACGGCGCACGACGTGGGCTGTCCCTGGTATTGACATGGCCTCGGTGATAACTATGCGAGAATTTTAAACTGTTGGGAAAAGAATCAATCCTTATTGCATTTCCTGTATATTAATTTACGGTAATATAAGCAATAAATTGCACAGATGTTGCAGACCTAGTTGTATAAATGTGATGATATAAGCGTCTATAAATAATATCAGGTACGTTCCATTAACGACACCAAATTTGTTATAGTTTAGCAGTAAAATGCACATATGTTGCAGACGTATTGGTATAGCTTCAACATGTGATGTAGACACACTGAAGGTGCGCCATCTTTGCAGTTTATTACTCAACTATTAAAAGTTTGGTGTTTCTAATGGAAAGTACCTGATATCATTTATGGACGCGTATATTTTCACATTTAAACGTTCCGTCATTACTGCATACATGTATTTGCATAAGCTACATATGTAGGTATATGTGAATACATATCAGTACTATGATGTGGTTTCAAGATAAACACTGGATATCGATCACTATTCTTCGCAAGTTCAATATTTGTTTCCCCATTAAGCTTATAATATTTGGTATATTCTCTATATATTAAATATAAACACGTTTATAATGTTTGGTATATCATCTATATATTAGATACAAACACGGTATTATTATATATAAGCAAAGGACATATGCATACTTCCATTTCACAGCAGAATCGTAAATAAACGTTAATTTTACACAATTTCTTTTCTTAAGATCGTAAAGCAAGAAATAGTGCAAACATTTGAAAATCTGTAGTCAAAATTTCTTTGTTTACTTGCAGTTGATTGTCTCATGTCAGTTGAATCCATTTTATGCCATTTTTGACGACGTATTTGAAACACATGCAATGTCTCAAATGAACGTCATCTTTTAACACTTATACATGTATATTTCAATGACCATGTTATGAGGTCACCTCATCGTTTAACCATTTAAAGTTTTGATAAATTCTTTTTACACAAGTATTTGTTGCTATTTATGAATGATAATCCGAATGGAAATTAACACAACAAATACCATTCTTATTGTAATATCATCTTAAAAATCATGGGCTTCCTGACGGTAACGAGTACCGATGCACATGCTTCGCATAACATGACAATGTGTGTATTTGTTTCGCTTTGTTTGGAGCCCGTAATGGCCAAAACGAACGTTCCATCCTTCCTTTGAAACGTTATCCCTAAACCAAATAGACTTGCATGAGTGTCCCTTTTTAAAAGAAGTGTTATTTTTGTGAAAATGAGAGAAGAAAAATAATTAGATCAGGTGAAAAAGTGTCGGTGAATGAACTTAATTAGATAATAAGAGAACAGTGCTAAGAGCTGGCTAGCTGTGTGACTCGAGTGGCTGGAAATGAAATGCAATGATTGGATCCTTTTGAAGAAATAAATGTTGAGAATTATGGTAAGAGATTAAGGCAGAAAAGTAAAATCACCAGTGCCGTGGAAACTGAACCTTGTTTGTGGTCTGAGTGAAGGATTTGATAAACTTAGTTGTGGTAGACCTCGGAAAGTCTGTTCTGCGACGCGCACTGACAATATGTAAATTGTGGTTGAGGATGAAAGTAATAGTATGCACAAAGAGATATACACCTGTATAATAAGTTTATATCTTTGAAGTTATTTTAAAAAAAAAGCGCATTACGTCATGATTGCGACATAAAATGTCAAAACAGTAGCTCCGTCCACTTTATCAATACTACGAGAAGAAATTGCGTTACAACTACAAAACATACGTAATGAACTAGCGGGATTCATGTGTAAGTGTGTAAGTATGTAGCCGACCTCACGTGGACCTTTAAGAACATTTTGTTTAACCCCTACTTAATACCAACATGTGGTTAAATTATAAGACATTGTGTCCCTACTTCTATTCATCATTTTAACAGTAAAGTGTTAGACCATTGATGGACTTATGAGAGAAAATGTAGCACTTTAACTGATACACATGGGTTACAAAACTTGACTTGAAATTTTGGACTACTTTCATTAACAATTAATGTAAACCGGTGAATCTTTTGCAACAGTATAATTTTGGCCTTTTCGCCCTTCGTAATTAGATGTCTATATAAGTTTACAGTCTTAATGTCCGTCCACCTTCAGTTTTACTGTTTAAAAGTCCGGATGATTTTTTTTTCTCTGTACAATGCATCCTATGTCTGGTACGGATTTATCTGATTCGTCCTGACTCTGACCATTGGCAAAGTTGTCAGTTTGGGTACTGGTATGCATAATGAAATGCTGCTTTGGTTGAATTAAGCGTGTTTAATAAGACGAAAATGACACTTGGAGATTTATTGGATAACATGCACAACCGCTTGTTACTTCGTTTCATTCGCACGTTAAAACTAGTAGGACACAGCTTCTGCGTTTATAATTAATTGCAATGGTTTCTGTGTCAGTAAAATTGAAAGGAAGTTACTTTATAGCCTATTAAGCTTTCATGATATATCGTATGATCTATTGCTAATCGTCTCATGTCCCTTGTCGTACGTCGCACATTGTCTGTCTTCCGTCCACCAGAACCACGGCGAGCCTGTGGAAGCCCGTCTCATCTTTCCCATCTGGAGGAATATGTATCGTCTGGATTATAAATTTAAATATAATGTGGCGAATATGGAAGAAAAGGTAGGACTTTCATAGACAAGAGACGGAAGAACAATTTTATATAAATCTTTTCAGTGCTTTAGTAAGATACATATTTTTCTGTCTTTGTTTAATAATGGAAATGAATATGGGCACAGACCACTCAATGCTTATTGACTTTTTGACGCCCAAAGCCTATTACTTTCTTATACTATCATTTAGCAATATCGCTTACTGCCAGATGTCGTACTAAGGGTGATAACTCTATGACCTCCGAATGTTTCGATTTCCGCTATGACGTTTTGCTACAACACAGACACAATACTTACAGATTCATTCTTACTCATTCATAGGTTAAGAAAATAATTTATTCACCTTCATGTTTTGAAAAAAAGGTTGTGCTGTACGGAAACCACATTAGTGTAACTGAAAAGTTGTTTTAAATACTATTGTGTGTATTTCTATTAGCTTACGGTGATTGTAAAAATTCATGGATCAAAACTATACATCCTGCACGTATGGTAAATTTAAGTGGACTACCTAACCATAAGTGTAGAAATGCTTCAATGTGAAAACCTAAATAAGAAGAAGGAGTGACTAAATGAAAGCACGTTTAATTAACATTACACATTACACGTATAGATATGGAAAGATACAACTTGGTGAGCTCAAAAATAAAATTTGGCATGAAGAAACTTTAAAAATTCCATTCATGTGCTTGTGACAAATTACAGGACGGAACAAGTTATTGTGCAGGATAAATGTTCATATTATTGACGCGCGAATGTTCCAAGAGAAAAAAAATGAAAACTTGTATCATGATTGAGGATTGGACATTATGTAATATAATGTATACATAGAAAACAATTGACTTGAACTAGATAAAACATTTAAAAAAAAAGAAAACACCGTGTCTATGAATGTGACTTCACAGATTTATGCCAAATTCTTTGTTCTGTAATGGATATGCAACGTCGTCATCATTAAGCTGGCAGAAGATGGTGGGTCTCTTGGCTTCAGGTGTAATTAAGTTCACGTCCTACAAATAAACAAAATAATTAGATTAAGTTAATGTTGTTGTAATAGTCTTGTGAATGTATATTCCGTCTTTGCGTATTGCAGAGTTATCTTTTCTTGTGAGCAGGAATTGATTGTTACGTCATTGGTTTGTGTGAGAAAATTACGTCGTTTTCTCACAAACAAATGACGTAACAATCAATACCTGCTAACAAGAGCAGATAACTCTGCAATACGAAAAGACGGAATATAGTGACTGAGCTTAGATTGTGTGACGGGCGATTCACGTACGGCGATTCTCCCCGAACTTGATGTAGGCCGGACATTCGCGAGTACTTTTCGCAATAGTCTACATTTGGTCAAGCCACTATACGGACGTGTTTACGTACTGTTGGTCTGATTGTAGATTGCATTCGCCGTGGCAGACATATTTCATAGCAATCATACATGTATACTGAATTATAGCTATAACAAATATGATGGTGTCTGAATCTTTATAGATGATCACAATGTTATTGATCTGTAGTTTGTTTAAATAATGGTTTATTTACGTCTATGTACAATATGTATGATAACTTAATAAATAAAATGAAAATATTCTAAACGGTGACAAAATTTGATAACGAAGTCGATACGAAAACGGCAACAAACCAGAATTGAATGAAATAATAATGAACCCCTTCAAAAAGTCAGGGGATCTCCAAAAGGTTTCTGAATCAAATGAGGCACCAACCATTATGAAACAAAAGTTACACACTACACGATACCCAGCTTACTAATATTCAATCAAGATTTCATCGGTTGATTCTAACTGTTAAGATTTCTTAAATCATCTGTTTATGGATCGAATAAAATGTATACATGTAATGTGTCACTCAGAGGAAGTTGATTTCCTACAAGCACGGAGGCCGAGAAGAACATATTTTATTGAGGGCGTAACTTTCTCATTATATCCTGAAAGAGTAAATACGATAAACTGAGACCATCAGATGAATTGGAAAGGTGTTATTAAAACATTCTTATTATTCTGTTATATATAGTCGAGGTTATATGAAAAAAACATTATACAGAACCTGATACAAAGTGCAATGATCAAATCACGCAACTAATTGATTGGTTGGTTTATAACTTAATCGCCGTTTCAAAGTGATTTATGTGTTTTGTTTTTGTTTACATACTGCCGTGAACAAATTTCTGGTATCATTTCACTCGGAATTGGTAAACGTTTGATCATATAACTAGAAGTTTGGGAAAACATATTATTCTTTATGAGCTTTTTCCCGAATTTCAGTTACACAAAGATCAGTCTTTTTACGTCAAAACAACTAAATCATGATTTGATGTGCTGTCCTTATAAACTTGGCCACCTTGAAACAGAATAAGAAAGACATAAACCCTATATACCAATAAATGGTTATGTGTATATATAGGATCGTATATGAGTTTCCATTTCATATGATATTTATGAAACGACTCAAAGATTTTTTCCAATTTAGCGAGCCTCTGGGTGTAAGATCCTTTTTACCACATAATCAAGATTTGTGGCATTTATTCGTGTAAAACGAAAATTTTCATGTAACCTTGAAATGTAAAAATTGAAACAATTGGAACCAATCACAGGGCTGATATATCATATTACATAGGTTAATACGCCATGGGTATATTCACTGGATAACACAGTACATTATGTGATAAATCAATTTTTCGTTCGTCTCTTGTCTATGCAATCACTACCTACTTTTTCTTACTGTTCGGCTTCTTCATAAATACGCTTGGATTTCAGACCGCATATCTTCCTACAGATAGGGAAGATGAGGCGCGATTCCACAGGCTCGCCGCGATCACCGCCTGTAGGGAAGAAAATAACAGAAATGCTATAAGCAATAGATAGTTTATGCTTTGAATTATACTGTTTGGCACTAGTTATTTGGCTATGGTGGCTCGGAATACTGGCGGTTGGATTTATTGAATATATTCTGTGATTGGTCTGATGGTTAGCTTTCCGTTTATACCACACTCAGGGTGTGCAACATGTCAAAGATGTGAAATAAAATTCAATTATATTCTTCTACGTGCCGTAAAGAATGTGATGATTTATATAACGTAACGCATGACCTTATGGGCCCCTTTAAAATGACGACTTTGGTACATTTCCTCTGCTATAACAGTAATACTTCTTTATAAGTCATTAAGCATACCAAGTGACGTAATCGATCTTTATCAATGATGACAAAAACACCTGCCGGAATATTTATCTGTCACCCAAATTGCATTCATATCGACTGTATACTGCATCTGGTAACAGTTCAATTCTTATATTTACATTTATATGTATATAGTTTGTTTTGTATAGTAACTGAAGCAAAAATACTTTTGAATTTCCCGCTTATCATATCAGTGACGTCAGTAAGTTCAAATCCCAGAACATCCGACATTTCCAGAAGAAATAATATAGTCGCTCGTGTCATTGAAAACCACACGCGCATAAAATGATTTGAACACAAAATTAATTTTATTATTTATTTCATGTGAGTGTGTATATGTTGAAAAATGGTTAATAATTGCATAACTTCTGCTTGTTTAAAATTAAAGCTGTTTTTCGCGCATTGATTGATTACATGTATTTTGAAGTGATGCGGCGCTGAACGGACTTGATTGTTTCCTCGGAAACGTTTATGTTTCCTTGGACTGGAATATTACGTTATTTTCAGAAGCATATATACTCGGAAATGTTTAATTAAAGTGGTCCTTTCAGTAGGTGATAACGATTCCAAGGACATTTCGTTTGAAATAGATTCCATGTCTAATCGGTCAGATTAGCATCGCTAGCAGACGACGTTCACAGGGGCTCGGTTTCGTGATTTTGAGTAATGGATGACATCACTGAATATACACATTCTAAAACCTTGTCGATACCCTCGACTTTTACAAGGTTTTAGAAATGCTGAATTTTAGTGTTGTGGTTATTCACTGATGTTATGCATAACTCAAAATCTCGAAACCGATCCCCTGTGTGATGACGTTGACAAACTTGGAAATTTCGTATCTAGAATGACGCTTACAATAATTTTGTGGTACCTACACATCTTATATTGTCATAATTTGTCAAGTTGCTTTATTTTTTTTGCGATGACCTATATTGCTAAATGCTAACGAACCCAGAATGTTTTTCGACTATAGGTCTATTGATACCGAAAGTATCGGGCGGCCATGCTTGTTTACCTTGTACCAGCTGTATTCCTACACTGGCCGTATCACTGTAAATTGTAGTATACAGTCTAATATACTGCAATTTGGTTTACTAATGACATACAGGCAAATGCAACAGAGAATGTAAATATAGTATTGTGGTTACTTTACCTCAACCCGCAGAATTGTGTCAATTTAACCTCTGAACCTGTCGGACACGTTAACATTACCTCTGACCCTGTCGGACACGTAAACTTTACCTCTCGACCTGTTGGACACGTAACCATTACCTCTCACCCTGTCGGGCACGTTAACGTTATCTCTGACCCTGTTGGACACGTAAACGTTACCTCTGACCCTGTTGGACGCGTAAACATTATCTCTGAGCCTGTTGGACACGTAAACGTTACCTCTCACCCTGTTGGACACGAAAACATTATCTCTGACCCTGTTGGACACGTTAACATTATCTCTGACCCTGTCGGATACGTAAACGGTACCCCTCACCCTGTTGGACACGTAAACGTTACCTCTGACCCAGTCGAACATATACATGTAGTCACCATTCGTTGGAGTATGCTCTTGTGAATTCGTTTTTGCATTATAATAACGTAATTATGGCCTCAACCCGAGTTAAGCAGCAGTCGGTAAAGGCTTCTAATGCTAAAACATAAATGTAAGTCATTGGACTTCAAATATATTAATATCTATAGAATTTATTATTTATTTTTTCCCGGTGGCACGGTAACTGTAAATGATAAACATATATGTAATGATCCGAAGTAAATGTAAATAGAAACTCTCTTACAAGGTCTGATTGAGGAATGGATTCCACCACATCAGAGTTTATATATAAATATATGTTATAAATATTATACAGTTATTACCCTTGTTGTAGGGAAATGTGATCCATCGTTTCACCTTCGCCTTCGCGAAACCAGATTAATCGAGGAGTAACAAGACATCGTGTTTCCTTACCACAAGGGCAATAATTATTTTATGATGCAAAATCATACTGAAAATTTAAATATTGATGGGCCACTATTATCGTCTGTTTCAGTCATTCGGAGCTATGTTGTTGTAGTTGTTACTCATTTTTCTACAGAGGTTCCGAATAAAGGAAATATGACCAAGGAAACTCGAGCGCGTGAGGACGGGATGCTATTTCATTGGCCTGTCATATTATCTATGTGATAAAATTATCCAATCAGACATGCTGCTGTAAAATGAGGTATAATGATATACATTGCTACATAAAAATGCTTCGAAAATAAATGTATCAAATTCAAGAACAACAAATAAATCAAACATTTTAAGGCATACAATTATAGCAAATTTAATGAACCAAGAATTATGAGATTTTTGATCGATATGAGATAAATTTCAACTCGTAAAGTAATGACCCAAATTAAATATTTAAATTAAAAGTGACGGAAACGAATTTTTGATTTTCAAGCGAATTCTGGTTGATGTTACCCTCCCCTGCAATTTTTTACATCACTGAACAAAGCTCTAAAGACATTATCATTATTACCGAAGGAAAATGTCTAACCAAACATTGAAGAATATTAGTATTGATTTAAATAACAAGTACACACAAGACCTTAACGCCTGCATCCGTGTCATTTAAAATATGCTCAAGTCAAACAAACCTTTATACCGCTTTATAACATTATACATACCCGTGCACAAGCTGACGACTGTACCAATGATTAGGGTCAGAGAGAATCCGATAAATCCGTACCAGGTATAGGATAAATTGTACAGGAAAAAGCCTTCCTCCGAACTAAAAGTTTAGTGTAATAAATTTTGAATTTCTATAATGAATGGGAAAACACACATAATTTGTATTTCTCCACAAGCAATGCATATCCTCGATGATTTCTTACTTTATCTTTAAAGATAAGCCGTTCTCCGGGAAATTCACAATGAGATGTCTCTTGCTAAAGTTTACTAACGTCATTAAAACTACTATATGGTTTAAAAGGATAGTACTACCATCCATTAAAGTTATAATTTCTTTCATTCTTACCTGAAAGGACTTATTGGTGACATACTTGAGGTCCCATTTACATCGTACGGAGTTGTATTTATTGTAAGGTTATAACTGTATATAAATGACTCGTTCATTGATACCGTGAAGTTATTGGGGTAACACCCACTCGTAGGATTCTGGATTAATTTTACTGGCCGCTTCCCGTATATTTGCCCTCCAACAGATAACCAAATGTTGAAGCTCATAGTAATCAAGCTGCCGACAATAGCCCCCTAAAATGTAGATCATAAAGACGTTTTTTAAAATTGTATACATGCACTAATATGTGTAAATTAACATCTTATTTGCAATTGCAATACCTATGATGTGTATGAGGATTCCAATTCTCCTATATTCAATTCGAAAAAAAGTTCATGCAAAGAATATTGTTTACTATACCCACCGCAACGAAGTTGTGGGAGTATATGGGAGTAAACTGTCTGTCTGTCCGCAAAATCTTGTCCAGACAACTCTTCCAAATCTACTGGACCAATTACAATGCAGTTTAAGATACGATAAGTACCCCCTGATGTTGTGCATCCAGGCATTTTTTTCATTGTCACCTTTTTAGCCTAGTTATGACCATTTCGTTTTAAATCCTTGTTCTGACAACTAAACTATATGCCGATTTTAACGACAATATATATAGATATGATAACTACACGCTTACCTTGTGCATCTAGCTAGTTTTCTTTACGTTTTTGCCCTTTTGTTGAAAAATTATTTTCCGGACTTCTTCTTCTAAACAATGGGTGGATTTCAACGAAAGTTAAACTTTATAGATATAATAACTACTTGAGGGGATATCTTAGTTTGTCTTCATTATTACTGAACTTTTATTTATATTATAGAACTAACAGCAGAAGAATATGTAAATACAAATAGTCATACTTAAATCTGTGTATCTGTGTATGGGATGGCAGAATGTCGAATAAAATGAACAAAAGTAGGCCTCTGTGACCTATTGTTTTACCTTTTGGCGTAAGCCTGTGAAAAAGGTTTGTCTTGAGCATTTCAGATGCATGTTTATCTGGGCTAGCCAGATTTGATATGGAAATAAAATTTATCGCGGGGAGTACATGTATGTCATTGTGACCTATATATTGAAATAAGAGTTGTTTGAAGTTCATAAAATAAAGAAATCATTTTAGTGGGAGTATGAATTGATTTACAATACTTTGCCTTTAGTAGCATTTAGCCTATAGTTTTATTTTACAAGGGAGCGGTGGTATTATCCTTTGGTTTACAGTTCTAGTCATAGATATTTTCATTATTAGATCACCTGACTCTTCGATTATACTCACTATCCAGTTTGCTTTTGGTATCATTCCACCAAGAAAGAAGAGTCCGACCAACGGTCCTCCACACGCACCCAATACAGAAAGTGCTATCTGCAGGACAATATATAAAAAAAAGTAAAAATGTATGAATTCATTATGAATATATGTAACACGATATTTTTTCAATAGAGATGATAAAACATTCAAACAAATATATATATATTGTTTTTTGTTCTTGTAAATAATATATGTGAAACCCACATGAATATTCTTGCCTGAGGATTGCAGGATATGTTATTGCATTGTAGTAAAATATGAAGAAATTGCGTCATTTGATTTAAGATATTCCTTGACTGTTTTCCTGAATGCTATAAAATGTAATGGTCTAATTTTACAATCGTTTTCATTTAAACATCAGCACTCTTGTTGGTCAATAAGGCAAATTATACCAGGCTAAAGACAGACGGGTACCATTTTATGGGATCACAATTTGAAGATTCTAATTACCTTTTCTATGTCGTGAAATTAAGAAAAAATCAGATAAGTTAATAAACAGAAACAAAATATGAATGGGATTAGAACCAGTGAAAATTGTCATGTGATGTACTGAAACTAGACTACCAACACTCCCTCGTAGCGTTAACGTTTAACATTTTGGTCAATGTCTACAAATAAATGTGTGAATTGATAGCTTATATAAAATGTTATAAAAACCCAAATAATAGCTGTAAAAGTGTTTTGTGTGTGATGTGAGAAGTGTGAATGTATTTGTATTTCATATATGTTAATTCAGAATGAGTTACATCCCTTTAAGCTCTAGTGTTCATACTTTCCATGTCTTAACTGATGTATAAAATTAAATCAAATACCAATTTACATAAGCCATTACTTTAGCCACCGCTGGAGAGAATTTATATAGGCTTTGCCTGTTATTCCATCCAACCGACTTGTAACAAACGTTGTCAATAAAATCTGTTGAATTATTATATTTTATAGCAGTTACCTGATTTATCGACCCAGACCTGGAGCTGATGGCATATGCCAGTCCAATGACTATCAGCCCGTACGAAAATACTGCAAGAGAAAATATATAATTACGCAGGAATAACACCATGCTTGGTGATAAAGTATAGCTCCCATTTATATTTTTGTGTTATGATGTCACAATACTTTCAAAAGTTCTCGTGAAAAAAAATGATGTGCATTTTATCTTTGAAAGTCTTCTAAGCATGCTTTCGTACCTGTTTTTGATCTCTAAAATATCTTTTTCAGTGTAATGTGTGCGAGTTAATTTAATGTATCTACTCAAATATCATAGCTAGACATTTATTCAGTGTATATTTATGCTTTTCCAGTAGAAACCCCGGTAACGTAAGTAAATGAGCCACAGGCGATCGAGTAGCGACTCAACTTCCACATAAAACAGGAGGAGAAATGCTACTACTTAGGGTAAGGTAACACTTTTGAAACTATGGTTGTTTGTTAGTCTTTTTTTCGTGTTGTATTCGATATATGCCATAGGTTAGTTATGCTATTGACTGAAGATGTACAAATATGTAATCATGCAATATTTGGACAGTTATGTTGTTATTCCATTTTGAAACTGGACATACAGCGGAAGCTTAACTGTCATAATTTGATTCAGGTACGTCTTACCACATAGCTTTGCTACACATGTCTGTGATATGATTTTCGATTTCTTAACACAGTCTCCAAGAATATCTTCTACAGTATTCGCAGCTAACGCGTTGATTCCAGACGAGAGCGTACTGAAGCAAAACAATGAACAAAAGTATTTTCCTATAAGTATTGGTTTTGTAATGCTCTCTAAATAGTTTGACTGGTTCGATATCTATATATAGGTGCTGTCCAAACATAAACGTTCATATTATTTTATGTGGGAGTCCATTACGGCCATATAAGCAAATAAGATATGTAAAAGTATTTCAAACAAAACATATTCACACGATGTCTAATAATGTTTTCTATCTTAAAAAGGAAAACCAATATCTTCTATGAGAGGTCACTTTAACGTCAAATTGTTAATTGTATTTGTATTTTTTATGCAGATTTTTCTAAAACCAATATTGTACTTTACCTGCTCTTGCTATACATTTAATTCCCTATGCTCATTATCACTCAAAAGATCTTTCACCACATAGTTGGTCATATATATAATTTTGTTTATTTTTGTCTTGGCCAAAATTAGGATAAAAACAAAACAATTTACCCAAAGGTCATTTTGGTAAAATTGTGTTTTTCCCTGTTATAATAGCGATATCAGTCATTGTCAAAAATTGAAAATAATTCTATTGTGAGTAAGGTTATTGTGGTTTATTGTTAAACTGTAGATTGAATGAACAGAAATACCTCTATAATAATGAAGTGGACACAAGAATTATACATTGTACTCGACCGGGAGGAATTGAATACATAATTCAACATCAGTCCTGAAATAGCAATTCTTATTTGTACTTTAACATTTGTTAACTGCATAGAAATTCCTTCAAACAACATCTTGTTATTTCTACGATTGAGAAGCAAAACTTAAAATAACGGAAATAATTGACGTTTTTGAATAATAAATGTATATGATTTTAAATTGAGTTTTTACGTTTTACAGTTCGCAAAAATAAAAACACTAAGAAGGCAGTGACATCTTTTGTGGGGACATTTCATTTGACATGACAACTTGTTTGTTGGGAAACAAGCAACACTTTAACTTGATGACGATACATTTTACGATTTTCTGCTATCTAGTAAGTATGTTTTTTAGATTAATAATTTGTACAGAGTTTACAATATGTTAAGATATTACCTTAGAGCGCCACTAAACAAACAGCTGATGTAGATACCAGATAAACCGGGCAGTGACCGTAATACATCAAGTCATACACTTACCTGAGAGCGCCACTAAACACACAGCTGATGTAGATACCAGATAAACCGGGTAGTGACCGGAATACATCAAGTCATACACTTACCTGAGAGCGCCACTAAACAAACAGCTGATGTAGATACCAGATAAACCGGGCAGTGACCGGAATACATCAAGTCATACACTTACCTGGGAGCGCCACTAAACAAACAGCTGATGTAGATACCAGATAAACCGGGCAGTGACCGTAATACATCAAGTCATACACTTACCTCAGAGCGCCACTAAACACACAGCTGATGAAGATACCAGATAAACCGGGGAGTGACCACATTACATCAAGTAATACACTTACCTGAGAGCGCCACTAAACACACAGCTGATGAAGATACTAGATATACCGGAAAGTGACCGTAATACACCAGATAAACTGGGCAGTGACCGGAATACATCAAGTCATACACTTACCTGGGAACGCCACTAAACAAACAGCTGATGTAGATACCAGATAAACCGGGGAGTAACCACATGACATCTAGTAATACACTTATCTGGGAGCGCCACTAAACACACAGCTGATGAAGATACCAGATAAACCGGGGAGTGACCGTAATACATCAAGTAATACACTTACCTGAGAGCGCCACTAAACAAACAGCTGATGAAGATACCAGATCAACCGGGGAGTGACCGCATAACATCAAGTAATACACTTACCTGAGAGCGCCACTAAACACACAGCTGATGTAGATACCAGATAAACCGGGGAGTGACCACATTACATCAAGTCATACACTTACCTGAGAGCGCCACTAAACAAGCAGCTGATGTAGATACCAGATAAACCGGGGAGTGACCACACTACATCAGGTCATACACTTACCTGAGAGCACCACGAAACAAACAGCTGATGTAGATACCAGATAAACCGGGGAGTGACCACATTACATCAAGTAATACACTTACCTGAGAGCGCCACTTAACAAGCAGCTGATGTAGATACCAGATAAACCGGGCAGTGACCGCGTTACATCAAGGGTGAAATATGGCATAATCTACAAATACAAATTATGCTAACTGCTTGAAATACAGCCCCGACCCCAAATAAATGGTAGCGCGAAAATTGTAAAAATCTGAACCCACGAATTAACACAATATTTACGGTATACTGTATGGTATTCTGACGAGCATCATCGTTCTGATGTGCTCCTTCTTTTTGAAAGAGTTCGAACGTATTAAATCTGTAAAATGTTTTTTCAAGCAATCAATTCAAAACATCTTTAGAAGGTACACAGAAAATGATATGAAAAGTTACATAAAACCAAAGGAAGTATCTTTACGACAAAGCTATGACATGTGTAATGTGACATGTGTAATGTGACATGTGTAATGTGACATGTGAAAACTGTATTCTTTGTCTTAGTTTGTCTTAAGTCTAAAACAATTCGTAGATGCGAATATAAAGAATTATACATGTGAACTCTATAAATAGTACCTGATTGAAATTGGTGAGGAATCCGGCTGGAACTGGATCACATTTCAAATATTGTAATACGAATAAAGAAGAATCCCCAAATACCCAAGCAACGCGTAGTAGACAGACATAGCAGGGGCCAACAACCAAAACGCTCTACAAATAGAAAGAAGAATAGTGCACCAAATAGTTTCTTTCGTTAGTCCGCATGTTTCACGATGGGAAATTTCATCATATTGTTCTTAAATTTTATGTTTTTTCATCAGAACATATCAGGATTCTTTACGCGTTTGGAATTGTTTTCATTTGACATTAACATTCTTTAACTTCATATATTTCATCTGAAATACAAAATAGAATGAGGTATGTTGTGTTTTATTTCTCGTTCTAATCAGTTATCATTTTGAACCGTAGGAATGTGACAGTAAAATTTTACAACAATAATTCTAAAAACATACCTCAGTACGCTGGTTCAAATTTTACCTTAATACCATGTAACCTTATCATCATTTGAGGGGCATATGCTTAATATTTCAGCGTAGCATTTTAAGTGAAACAAATGTTTTAAAAATGAATAATATTCAATTGGGAAACACATGACGTTAACCTTTTAGCAGCCGCAACACTTCGGAGAGAAGAGACCCTCTGGACACTGGACTGATGACACCAAAGTGGAAGAAAAGCGAATGTAAGGCCTATCAACAAACCCCAGATCGTGTGGCGGGTTCTAGGGTCCGGGTCAAAACTGTGAACACAATAATACTTCAGTAAGTATTTGTATCAATGTATTCAAACTAGGTAACGTCATACTTTTATTCCTCAGATCCGGTAGTAGGTAGAAACATTTTACTTATTGTTCTATTTGAAACACCAATCTAAAATTTTGAACCGTATTTCCAGAACTCGGATATTGAATTAGTTGACAAGTCATATGTGATTTCTTAAATGAACAAATCAACGCAAAAACCAAAAATGACAAAAGGGAACAACTCTAAGAAATTTTCTTAAGAGTTTTTTGAAAAACAAGAAGATAGTTGTACAAGTTACTGTCAGTGGTGAAGTTATCTCATTTCAATGAAAATATAGTTTTTTTTATGTGAATGACCGTAGCGACTAAACAACGACTGATCTGAGTACATGTTGACTATATTAGATGATCTGACCACACGGGCTTTCTGAACAATGTTTACTTGCCGAAATATACACAATTGAAGTTCCAATCTAATCCGCCTTGCTACTTCCAGTCGCCATTTTGTAAACAAGACCTAATATCGAGCTGATGCGCGTTTGAAAGAGTTTGAAGTATTGCAAAGCTTCTAAACAATCATGCCCAGAACATACTCACTAAGGATGATGTTTTTGATAAATTCAATATCATTTGTTTACTATATTTCTTTTCTGTATCACTTTCATTTATTCATAGAAGAACAAATTGATTTTTTTCCCCTTCAAACCTTTTTCTTTCAAATGTTAAAACACATTTCTTTGGAAAATATGTTCTAGTTTCGAGATTATGATCAAACGTCGTCTGCTTCGCAAACATTCAAGAAAATGATATTTACAATGTATTGATGTTGTTTTTGTTAACTCGTTTATTCTTTAAACTATCTTTAATTAATAAATATCAAGACTTTGTGAATTGAAAAGTTGCATTTTTTGCGTAACCGGAAGCGCACTTGATACGAGAACGTGACCCGGAAATACCTCACAACATAATCAGGACAATGATATAAAATAGACGTTTATCGAACACTAACAGATTAATACCGTATGTATTGAGACACTGATGGACTAGAATACAACACGAGGTAACACTCGTTTAATCCATTGCTATCACATCAAGTACTAACTGACATTTATGCGAAAATATCAGCATTAAATGTTTGCGATCGCGCAGACCTACGTTCGTTTTACAGTTAACATACATTTGTACATGTTGGTATCACCAGTGTACCTTAATGTGTGTCCTTCATCGTGCCGAAGATTATACATAGGCGCATTGTCGAGGAAAAGTTCGTGATTAAAAGCTTGTGGGTTTTTTTTGTACCTTAAAACTATCAGCTAAAAGCATAGTGGCATGTTACATCAAGATACAAGAATCCTTATTTTACGTTGAATATATGTCATAGTTAACATAAGCTCTCAGAAGCTTGTATTTCGACAAACATGTATATATATAAATGATAAAACATTGTAAAGGCAAACAACAAATGTTATCATAAGATACCTACGTTGGAAGGATTAAGATAAAGAGGCTAAATAATCATGCTGTACAAAATTTGGCACTAAACAACTTACTTAGTAAAATTTAAAAAGCAGTCTAGAGGGCAGGTGATCGGGACAGCCCCTACCTAACAGCCCTCTGAATACTGCTGCACAATGTTTTTTTGAAACATAGCCTTTATTTGTAACCTCGAGCACGGGGTGGTAGCCGTTAATATTGGGAGACGTTTCGGTAAGGCTACGAATGTGTTCCCGGTCAGGTAATAGAGCATCAAATGTATTAAATTCAAATATAGCATCACTTCACAACAGTCATGGATTCATATGGGTACAATATGATTAAAATAACATTCATACAGTGCATGGAAGCTGAGATTAACAAATCATTGGTTTAAAATTACAAGTCATCATTTCCATGAAATTATCCAAATAAATAAGATCTTTATGTCAAAATAAACTTCAGGTTTGGTTTAGTATTGTTTAATGTACGTCCTATCAATATCTATAGATGGTCATTTAAGGACGGCCTCCCCCATTTGCGAGATACATGTGTGTGGTGAGTTTGTGCGTAATTAATGTTTTGGGAGTCTGTGGTATGTTCATGTTTGTCTCCTTGTGATAGTGCAGGACTGATGCTGACTTTATAGTGTAATTCCACTGGAGCATACTGCTAAAGACACAACTTATTTTATAATCGAATCTCGTTATCTCACCATCTTCAATAGCCAAGGGTTTATAATTTAAATGTGTTCCATTGAACCATGACGGAATTAGCCTTGTGTTTAATTTCACTCCCCTGCCACCTAGCAGAGACACTTTACTAACAAAACTTTAAACTTTTAAGATTATTTCAGCACTGGTCGCCTATGTATTTCCCTTGGTTATCATTTACGGTTAGAATATGGCCAATTATCTCTACCAAGTGATCAAATACAGAACATGTTTCAGTATTGTCCTCCTTCATCCTAAATCATGACATAGTCGACAAGGCAACTTGGTACTGGGCGCCACCATTATTATTTACATGCACAGGGACTTGGTATTAATTTCTAACCCTCAGTTCACATATATGTGTATTATATAATGTATGATATAAAAACATTATGTGGACCATAGGATGGTAATTCGTGACAAGTCCCTGTGCCAGGTTGAATAATTTGAAAGCTTAGAGAACAAGGCTAAATCTGCTAAGGTTGAATATATGAATATGTGAATACAAAATGAACGCTTGGCTATAGCAAAGATGAGATGTTACAGGCTGGACAGATAATGACAACAAACACAGACTGAAAACATGCATGGAATGTGTTTTTCTTAAGAGCGGCTGTATAAAACACATTATGAATATGTAAAATTATGATGGAAGTTCATTTTACCCGAATTACCTGACGTTATTTTTTAATATACCTTCAGTCCGTCTGTATTTCCACACTGTTCTCTGTATAAGGAATAGGAATCAGTTTGTTTTGGGGTTTTATAA